TTATTGGTGTATACAAAGGATATTGAGCTTTTGTATATTGATTTTGTATGTTGCAACCTTATTGAAATTTTTATCCATTCTGATATTTTTATGGAGATCTTTCTGTGTACAAAAGCATGTTTCTGCAAACAATTTTAATTTTGCTTCCTTTCTTATTTCAAGCCCCTATGTTTGTTTTTCTTGTCCTAATGTTCTCATTGAGACTTCTAATACTACACTGAATAAAGGTGGATGTACTTTTCTTCCTCTTGATCTTGGAAAAATGACTTAAATTTTTCTCATTTAAATGTAAGTTGTGGATTTGTCATACATAGCTCTAGTGATATTGAGCTACATTTTTTCATCTAATTTTAAGGGTTTTTAAAATAATAAATGAATGCTGCATTTTAATGTTTTATCTATGTCTATTTAGAACATCATATGAGTTTATGCTTCATTCTATTGAAATTATGTACTATGCTTATTATTTGTATATCCATTTTTGCTTCCCTGGGATAATTTCCACTTGATCGTGATATGAAATATTTATTAATAAGCTGTTAGATTTGATTTTCTCAGATTTTGTTGCAACTAGGTTGTTGGATTGCATATTTCTTTTTTGTTGTGCCACTGAGTGATTTGGTATCATGCTGACGCTGGCCTCACAGAATGATTTTCAAAAGGTCATTCCCTTACATACATCGGAATAATTTGAGTTCTAATATTAGTTGTTTTATGAAAGTGGTAAAATTCAATGGGGAAGCTAATTAGTCCTGGGCTTTTCATTATTATAGGTATTTTTAAAAATTACTACTACATTGCCATTGATCAGTTCACACTTTATTGCACTCGTTCAGTTTAAGTTGGTTATATCTTGTCAGAAATTTGTTCATGTTTTTCTAGTTTATTGGTGTATGCTTCTTCATAATAGCCATTACTGATTCTTTGTATTTGTATAGTATCAATTGTAGTGATTTTATTTGTTTGGATCATCTCTTTTTTTTCTGGTAGTGGAGCGTAAAGTTTATCATTTTGTTTCATTTTTCAAATACTAATCCTTTCATTTTGCTTAACATTTATATTTTTGTCTGTATGTTATTTATTCTAATACTTAATTGTCATTTCTCGCCTACTGCTAATTTCAGGTTTTATTTGTTCTTGCTCCTCTACTTCTTCAGTTCTTACATTCAGCTGTTTATATTTACATTTTAATGTAAGCACTTATGGCTATAAACTTGCTTTTAGCGTATCTTACCGGTTTGGGAAGGTATTATTTTTATTTTTATCTGTTTCAATAAATTTTTAAATTTCTCATTTGATTTTTTCATTAATTCATTAGTCAATGAGGATTATTATTTTTCATGTTTTTATAACTTTAAAAATTTATGTTTTTTCTGATTTCTAGTTTTATACCACTGTGATCAGAGAAGATATATGTTTTTCAATTTAAAAAAATCTTGAGAAAGGATGAATCATAAAAGTTAACATCAGATACTTTATTATTAAGTAGCATAAGAATTAATTAAAATGAATTTCTATCTCATACTACTTCAAAACAACCAACCAACCCCATATATTTCAAAGATTTTAAAAACTAAAAACAAGTTTTAAATTTTACATAAAATTGTAGCTTAATGTCATCAGGTACAAAGGACAAAGGAGTCCTTTTGAAAAACTTTCAGATATATTTGGTTAAATATGGCATAAAGCACATAATTTATTTGTCAAAGCCAGCACAAAGTCCTATTAGAGGCTGCCAATCTTCCAGTTCTATAATTCTGGCCCTGTTGAATTGTGATCAGAGCATATGCTATTTATATCTATGAAACTTCTGTTGACATCTATCTCAGTTTTTTTTAAATAACACAATACTAATTAAGTCAGGCCCATACATCTCACTGAAGAGCCTATGTTGGCTTCAGTCTTCCAAAATCACAAACTTTCCCTGGATTCCGAACAACTTTATGGTTATATAAACTATTAGTAAGGAGGTGTTTTGATATGTGTGTGTTTGTGTGTGTGTGTAATTAGTGCTGATATATTGAACTAGAGAGAATTATTTTAGTATAGTCATACTATTTATGCAAATTCAAGTTGTTCCTCATGTAGAAAACATGAGACTGCCTTCCCTCATCTCTTGTTTTTTCTGTTGCTATATCTATTACTCATTATTTAGAAGACAGAATGATTGCCATTTTCAAGGTGACTTCCTCAAAGAATTACTTTAAAATCAAGAACATCAATCACAAATTGATACACCAGTATTGAGTACATTGAAATTAAACCATTGATAGTTTAAAAAAGCTAACAAATTTAAATAGTGGAAGACAGTTATGAATGAACATGTAAAAGTATTAATTTCCAGGTGTTGTGAAGACTGTTTACAGTGTGATAATTAAAAGACACGACACTCAGCAGGAAATCAAGAGAAAGACACGATCATGTACTTCCAGTGAAGGAATTCTGTAGTAATAAGAGCAATGATGATGCTCCCCTGGGTCAATATGATTGTCCTCATGGATAGATTCACTTTTTGCAGTGTGGTCATTCAGAATCAGGCTCAACTGTCTCTGAGAGCAGCAGGTAATCTGTTTCCACTCAATAGAAGGAGATACCCACGCACTTCTTTAAAATCCCGGGGAAGTCACATGCTATCTTTTCTACGGGGAACATTGTGTCACCTAGATCATCTAAGTTAGTAAAAAATGTAGAAGCTACCTTCCAGTGACAATTACATTAGTTGAAAATTTGAAAAAGCACCAGGCATTCATCACAAATAGCCAACAAATGCAGATTAAGATGCTTTACTACACTGATGATCAGGGAAACGGGAAGTAACAGTGCAATGAAATAAAATTTGCCATTCACTAGGCTTACAAAACATTTGGAATTCTATTAATACCAAGCTTAAGAGATAAATAACAAGATTTCTCATAGTCTTAGGAGAATTTAACATTCACTCAGGTTTTTAAAAATTGATGGATCGTTTTTAGGGCAGTTTAAGGTAAAAATTATGTCCATATACTTCATTTCCTCCACTCCTGCTCAAAGTTTGCCTTACTAACATGCATGATGTAGGACATTTATTATAATCAAACTGGTAAAATATTACTAACTAAATTTCATCATTTGCGCTGGAGTTTATACATTACGTTCTATAGATTTTGCAAAATTTTTTCCCTTGGTTTTGACAAACGATGGTGTATGTGTACTATTTCATCATCATGCATAGTAAAATTTCTGTTCTGCAAGTTGCCTTCGTTCTAATTCTTCACCCCTCTCCTCAAACACCAGACTTTTAGCATGTATTGTTTTATTGCCTCTAAAAAGTCACTTAGCCTTTTTGGACATAGATCTGGAGTCATGTAGTGTGTTGGCCTTTCTGACTGGCTTCTTAGTAGTATGCCTATCCTATGTAAACCACTGTCCTGGCCTTTTACAAAAAAAATTATTTATTTCCACTTGTGATTAAGCCTCCTCACTTGGAAAAAAAGAGTTGTGTGCCTAGTTAAACAGCGTTCTAACACAATTAAAAATGTGAATGATGTATAAGAAATTACAAACAACAAAGAAGGAATGGAGTGGGTAGAAGAATGGGGAAAGGTTGAGCACTAAGTACAAAGTAATATTTTTAAAAGGAATCAAAATGTTCATGTACAGATACTAATTCTCTATAATGAATGTGGTCATTATGTATACCTAAACTGTATGAATAAACATAAATTTAAAAAATAATTGGAAAAGAAGTGAAACTTTATACACTAAATAATAAACCACATTTTAACATGTGAAAGGTTCACATTTTATAGTAGTAAATTATAAATATGTTACCTATACTAAGAAAATCAGAAAATATATTAATAATAGGTGTTATTTTGAAAGATATATTAGTAAATATATTATCTTATAATTAGTTTTAACTTAACAAAAATATATTTTGAGTTCTAAAATTTTACATAGTTACATGTTCATGTTTAATTTTAATTTTTTTATATTCATGGGGACAATATTTGATATGTATGGTTTAGAATTCTGGTATGTTTTTCTTTCTGCATGCAGTAAACCACTGAGTAATACAGTTTATCTCAATTCACACAGTAAAGATAGTGACTCCAAAATGGACTAAATAAGCATATTTTTAAAAATTAGATAGGAGAAATAAGAATGATGTTCTATTTCATGGCAGATTCATTATAATAATGATAAAATATAATTTATTTCAAAAATGATCTAAAAATGATTTTGAGTATTTTCCCTACAAAGAAGTGAGAGATATCTGAAGAAACAAATTATTTTTCAGTACTGTGGATTGAACTTAGAGCCCTCACACTGAGCCACATACCTATTCCTTTTCAAAGTTTTTATTTGCTCGGGATGAATTGGAGCTAGTGAACTCTCTTGCCTCAGCCCCCGGGATCATAGGTATTACAGGCATTGCCACCACACCCAGCCTATATTTGATCTTAGTATGAACATTATACACTCAACATGTGTGGAAATACCACATAGTATCTTGTAAATATGTTCCATGTTATGATAAAAATAAACATATTAAAAACAAAATTATAACTGAATTTCTCATTACTTATTCATAAAAATGAATTTTAAAACTGTTGAAAAGCAAACTACAGAAATAAATCATGATCATATCAAAGCAAATATTCTGATAATTTGAGAAAAGAAAAATAGCTTTGGAATAAAAGGCAGTAAATATCATCAGGAAAAATAAAAATGACTAAAAACTGTAGAAAAACTCAAATCATATATGACAAGGATACTATTCAAGAAGGGAAAATATGCATGTGTTTCTAAAAACTGTTCCAAATTCTCTCAAAACAGTTGAACAGAGAAAAAAACTACATTCAAGTTAGAATGCATGCTGAAAAATGAATGCCAGTCAAAATTCACGAAGAAATAATAATTCTGAGAAGAAACGATTTGTACGGTCTTATATTCCAGGTGCATAAGGCATGTCCAGGACTGAGAAGGTCTCATATCCACTTAATATGAAGGAAAGGCCCTCACACTGAAAATGTTCCCCTACTGAGCAGATTTTTCAGAGCTCTTTTCATATCCTGGTTCCTCAAACTGTAGATAAAGGGATTTAGCATAGGTGTGACCAGAGTGTACAACACAGCCACAATGACATCCTTGTCATTAGTGTTATTGGAAGAGGGTACAAAGTAGAGCCCAATAATTGCTCCATAGTACAGAGAAACTACAGACAGGTGAGAGCCACATGTGGAGAAAGCTTTGCAGATTCCCTTGATTGAAGGTAATTTCAAGACAGTGGCACCAATGTGACCATAAGACACCAGAATGCATATAAATGGTAGAGTAATAACCATTGATCCTACAATGAGAATAACCAGGTCATTGACAGTGGTGTCTGAGCTGGACAGCTTTAGTAAGGCTGAGAGGTCACAGAAAAAGTGGTGGAGCGTGTTGTCTTCAGAAAAAGAGAGATGGGCAAGGAGGAGAGTGTGCACAAGGGCACCAGCACAGGACAAGACCCAGGATAGAAATACTAGCAGGAAACAAAGGCCTTGGCTCATGATCCTAGTGTAGTGCAGGGGATGGCAGATAGCAACGTATCTGTCATAGGCCATTGAAGTGAGAAGAAAACTGTCAATATCTGCAAAAAATAAGAAAAAATATACCTGAGAAATGCACCCAGCATATGAGATGGACTGACTGTGTGTCAGCATATTCATGAGCATCTTTGGAGCCGTGACTGATGAGAAAGAGATGTCAGTGAGAGCCAGGTGGCTGAGGAAGAAGTACATGGGGGTGTGGAGGCGGGCGTCCAGCCTGATGAGCAGGATGATGAGCAGGTTCCCCAGCACTGTGGTCAGGTACATGACTAGGAACAGGGTGTAGTACATGCCTTGCTCCTCCTTCTGGATAGGGAGCCCCAAAAGGAGGAACTCAGATGCACTGCTTTGATTACCCTTCCTCATGCTCTCTTCTACTCTTTTGCTGGAGAAGCAAGAAGAGTGAACATATGAGAGAACGAGAAGTTATTATCACAAATACACAACCAAAGTATGAATTTGAACTAGTACTATGTGGCTTTTAACCTATCTTAAGATTTTTACCACATCAGTTAACAATGACTTGGACAAAGACTATCATTTACCTATCTATAAACCAACTCTACATCTTTTGGGGAAATCATGAAACATCTGAATGGTTATTAGTTCAGGCCAGCTTCCAACTTCAGAAGTCTAGGAGTCCGTGTTAAAGCTGAGGTAAAGGAATTATGTGCAAGATCAGATCAGTAACCAATTAATCAAAAACTAATAGATTATTTCTAGTGATTTGTTAGCTTCTATTAACTTCTGAAAGACAATTCAAATGATGCTTTGTTTTTAGGAATTGCATCAAGATTAAAGAATTTAGTGGGCTGCTATTAAGCTTCAAAATATAAATCTTTCAAATTGGAGGATTTCAAATACTTCAAAATATCAAGGTCTGGAGAGTGGTGGTAGGTTGGATCAAAGGCCTCTAAGGCATAAATCTACATGAATACTATAAAAAACCAGAGTCACACCTTGCACACACCCATTCGTTATTCCTTAAAGAAAATCTTTTTCTACTCAACCTTTTCAGTCTTCTGTCACCCTCTCTGATGGAGCTTTCAAGGAATGTGGAGACAAAAGTTTGCTTTACTTTCAATTTTTCTCTTGTGTATTCTCTCATTTGAGATCAGTTCTTGCGTTTTCAAACCCTTAGGACACCTGGTATATTTGATATTTGTAATCACTCCTAGATCTACCAAACAACAAGTTCTTTACATAATAAAGTAATACTTTTACCTTTTTAAAGGGTCTTAGTCAGTATTTTATGTAACAATTCTTAGTTGGTATTTTTGGGTCATATTTCTTAACATTTCTTATATCTATAAATAGTCTTTTTCTCTTTTCCTTCAGGTCATTTGGTCTTATACATATCTATGTGAACAATAACAGAAGAAGAGAGAAAGAAAACACGATGATTTGCCTATTAAAAAATGAAAACAATTTTTTAAAATTAAAAACTCATAAATCTGAAGATCTTTGTTTTTCAGAGCTGAAGATGGTCTGAGTTTAAGAATCTTCATTCATTTTAGGAGTTAACAAAATTTGCATTAATGTACTAATTCTCTCAACTTGATTGAAGTTACCTTAAATTTCCAACATCTTTAGCATTCTAATGTTAAAATATTTTGTTCATATGATATTACCTGATATATATTATACATTGAATTATATTACTTATTACCTTGTTAGTAACAATCAGTTTATTACAATGAAATGCAAATCAACTGTCTCTAGGAGATGTAGATTGTTTCTCATATTTTGTTATTTGTAATAATATTACTATAAATAATATTGTTTATAAGTTATTTGGCTCCTTGGCATATATACACCTGTAGGATGAATTCCTAGAAATGAAGTTAGAGGGAATGTATACTCATTATTTTGACAGAAAACTCATCAAATTATAAAAAGCTAGGTGAAGAGGAAACCAATCTTTCTGTATTTTCTGAGAGGAATATGATTATTTTCATGAGAATATAAGAGCCTGCCACATGCAGATATAAAAACAAGCATGCTAGAGAAGTTTGTAGAGAGCAGAGTTAGAGCATTAGATTCAGAGAAAATTCAGGACACAGTCAGTCTAGAAATATTTGGGCCTAGAGAATTGTAGAAGAGTAAGACTATGTAAGGCTATTTCTGCTATAATAGAAGTTTCAATCTCAGTAATAGTGTTCCCAAGAAAAAGTCTAAATAGGGCACTGACTAAAAATTTTAAATACAACCCCATATATTTCATAGAGATCTGATTAACCAAGACAAAAATGTCAACAGAAATCTCAATCGGAGGTTATTACAAATAGTACCTGCTTCCACCTGGATTGTGACAATAGAGACAAAAAAATTACAGACATATGGTAATTGGAAGAAACCAAAGAGACTTAATGGGGGCCAATGATCAGCAAAGGAGATACATTTGTCTCCTACTGTCTTCCAAAAACTAGACATAGGTAGGATTGTTTTGCAGTAAAGTAGTCTACACAGAGATTTGGTTTTTGGCTATCATCTCAGAATTTGGATAAATAATTCAAAATAAGTTACATTGAGCTGTCTGTCATACTATGGTGCAAGGATGATATAGAATTTAGGGATCAGGAACACACATGGGACACACACATGTACACACACAAACATGTCCAACCATGCTAGTGAATGCAAATTCTACTCTTGCTTTGATGTGGCTCCTTAGATCGATGAGCACCGATACCTTCAATTACAGGTCCTGAGGTAGTTCTCCATTTCTCTCTAGAAAACATGGAATACAGTGAAACAGGAGGAGTCTTTGAGGAACTCAAAGTTCAACTGAGGCAAGCAGAAGATTTATCAGGTCAAAATGAAGTGAGACATTCATGCAAACATTCATTTCTTCATAGCTCCTGGGGAAACAATGTGAATTCTAATTTTTTCAAACCATGGAGGAGACCCAGGGGGCAGTTTCTATCCCCATTTCTAACTTAGAGACAAACATGATATAATTGCTTCATTGCCTTTGGCTCCTAACTGTGTGCTGAAGCAGACACTAGAGAGTTTATCCTTGGAGGACAAATGTTAATAACCACAAGGCAGTCATTAGGAACTTGGCGGTTCAAAGCACTGCTTATCCTCTCAGTGTGCCTGGGGAAAATGCGATGCAGAGTCCCTCACAAATCACAGCAAAGTTTGGGTGTAAGAACCAATGTTTCTTGTTTCATACCTTCATTCTATGAATTACAGGATGAAGGAACTCATATTTTATCATCACCACTGGAACTGGGGAACGAAATATTCCATTGATATGAGTTTCCCACAATACCATAAAATCCCATCAATATAAGCTTTTGACTTAATCCTTTATAAAACTGATCCCAAAATTCATTTTATGTATCTCCAGCTGTGTTTCTTCAACACATGACAGAAAATAACTATTATTTGCTTATCATTCAATGTAAGAATGAGCAAATATTTTAAAGCATTATTGCTGATGACAAGCTTGACATAATGCAGAACAGGCAGTAATTAATACTGACAAATTGCTACAAGAATAAATCAAGAGTCTGTCCTAGCCAAATGACTTGTGACAAACCCCCAGCTGGTTTAAGGATAAATTAATCTTAACAGACAGAACTGAGACCAGAAAACAGTCTGTCTGTGAGGTTCTGGAGCCTCAAAGCAAGATAACGTGGCAGCTGAGGACTTTAGCTCTTGCAAATTCTGTCTAGCTAAGTAGTCACAGTTAGCAGACAATTAGTTAACCGTGATCAGTCCCTGTCTACTTTTCCAAAAATGCATTGTTTCTCAATTCTTGAACATTGTGCCAGCAGTTTACCTCCACCCTTTCCGATAGCCCACTAGCACATCACGGCAGTCAAGCTGTGCACCAGTGCCTTGTGTCTTAGCCCATCATTTATTTGAATGAAGAAGCTATTTGCAAGATAGTAACACTTCAGTAATAGTTTGTGGGTCCTGCAAATTATGGGTGATCATCCATTGCCATAATGATAGTGCAACAACTGAGCAGCTTGTTTCTCTAGTAGTCAGGAGTTGAGATAGAACCTTCTTCTGAAACCACAGAACACCAAGGGCACTTCCTTATTTCCCTTCACATATTGACAGGTGTTTTTTCTTATTTTAAAGAATTTTATTTAAAGAGAAAAAAATCAAAACAGAAAAAAGGGTGGAAGTAATATAGAATTTCAAAAAAAAGGCAAGTAGTAAGAAATCCCTATTGATAGATTACATATTGTCATCTTAGAAGTTGCTGTTCAAGTTACAAATTAAAGCATACCAAGTAGACTTTCAAACAGTGAGACTGCAAATAGTTCTATTCAATGATCCAGAAAAACTTAGTAGTATGGTTATCTGTCTTATACAATTAAATATCCTTCAGAGCACTTTCATTTCCTCTCTTTTTTTATAATAACAATTATACATTTTAGGTTTAATTACTCCTACAGTTCTTATTACTTTGTTTGAAGTGAATAAAACCAAATGTGACAAAGCAAAATGGAGTCGGTTAAAACAAGAATGGACATAGTATATGGTGTAAAAGCAAAATACAAGGTAATCAACAATGGCTACTATAATGCCTCTTGCTATCTTCAATGAACTGCCCATATCTTAAAGAGGGTAAGATTAAACATAACAAAACAAATCTTAAGAAAACAATTTTAAGAAGCACGGATTTCAAAGTAAGTCCACTGGAGATTTTCACTGTCTGTCTTATTGTCTCTAGTTTTCTTCCAAATAGATTTCCCATCTTCACACGCCTTTAATACATACAGAACATTTTAGTACTAACCTAATCATAACAGAATGATGAAGACTTTTTAGGTCTTCAAGACCTGACATTAGGGAAGTCCATAGTGACTGCCATTATGTCCCTCATTCTCTTCACAGTAGCTGTCCTTATCTTTATTTATGATGAAATTGAACATAAGAGACTAGACTAATATTATTATAAACAGTGAATAATAGTTTTGCTAGATTTTGTATCATAATGTAACAGAGTTAGCACTGGGTTTCTTAGTGTCTCTTCTTTTTCAGAGTATCTCTTCCTTACATCGTACATTATACATTCTACTTAGAAATTCTCCCCATGTGTGAATCTCTACATGTATATCTACCCTTTCTGTGTTATAGGGCAAAACAGTAAATAACAAGACAAAAAACAAATTCTTAGAAAAACATGGAATGAAAAAGACATATAAAACCACAATATTAGGTGATCTACAGTAGTTACTATGCTTTCTCTTGTTATTTTCAACAGAGTTGTCCACATCATCAGAGATAATAATTGAACATGGCATTACATAGCTATTTTAATAAAAACACAACTTTGGAGACATTGTAGGACTTCAAAAGCAATTAATAATCAAACCAGAGTGGGTATGTTACAACTTGTCA